TTTCTAAAATTATCAATTTCTAAAATTATTTTCTTCTTTTTCTTTTTTCTTTCCTTTTTACTCTTCAAATTCCTTTGATTTCTTTCTTAAAAAAAATTAAAATTTCTTTTCTTCAATCAAACCCTATTTTTTTTTTCTTTTTTTTTTTCCTACTTTGTAAAAATTTTCTTTTTATGCTTACGTATTACTATTATACATGTAGTACGTAATTTTTTTCAAGGAAATATACTAAAATATATTTTTGTTCTCATATTTCTTTTAGTACTCATTCACTTAGCATATTTCTTTTACACTAGGCACTGGATTGAAATCTTGACTCCTTACATGTTCATAAATTTAATTGTTTTATACATTTTCACACACTTGCCAATATTTTTGGGACCTACTTTTGCCTTTAAACTAGTTATGTGCATTACAAATGACACATTAATTAATTAATTTTGACAAAATTACTCTTATAAATGGTCAATATACCCTTTCTAATTGATTTATAAAAAAAAAGTCCTTAACAGATGATATTTCATGGAGTTTCTCCATTATTCATGGAGAACAATATTATAAACTGATTCAACATAGATAAATCTTATATATTAGTTGAAATAAATTGACTTTAATATATATTTTTTAGTTTTTCTTTGGTAAACGATATTTCCTAGAGTTTCTCTATAAAAAATAAAATAAAAAAATATCCTTATAAGCGCCAATTCTAATTGTAATATCAAAATTTCAAATATATTGTAGATATTTCATAAGGTTTCTCTATTATTCATATAGTCTATTTCTTAAAAAAAATAAAATAAAAATCACAATCGTCATGATCAAGGACAAGCAAAATTTTATAGTTCAGTGATCGAGGGAAGTAAGCAATTCCAATCTCTTTCAAGGCATTGTACATCGTGATTCGTGACCAAATCCACTTTTTGTGTTGATAAAAAATACCTTAATAAACAATTAGTAAATTAAAAAAAAATTAGGATTATATATACATTCTATATATATAAATATATATATTCTATATAGAAATTAGTTCCATTATTACTTTATTTATGTGTCCACTACTTTGTTATACTATTGTGGTCAGTTTAGTTATGATTTTTTTTTTTAAATAATTATTTTTTAAAAAATTCAATTTTCTTATTATGAGTATTTAAGTAAATTTGTTTTATCTCTTAATGACATTTAATTATAACAAGTTAATAAGTAGAGATTGTTTGTTGAAAAAAAAAAAAAAAAAAAAAAAAAAAAAAAAAAAAAAAAAAGGAGAAGAAGAAGAAGAAGTACTGTGCAACTTTTTTAAATTAGAGGGGAGTTTAATGTACCAAGGCCTTTGTATTTTAAGTTAATGTGCCAAGGTTTTTGTCTTTTAATATCGCATATTATTGCCAAGCTCTCGTTGAATGATATGGATGCGGACTTGGTGCTTCGGTTGTTGCCTACGTCGATCTTTAACCTTCTGGAGTTGGATGTGGTTGTTAGTGTCAATGTTTGTTAATGGTGTGTCTTTTGTTTTTTGTGGTGTCGTTGTCAAAAAAAATAAATAAATAAATAAAGAAGTTAAGATGGAATCATTTTTAATATAAAATTAAAAATAGATTAAAATTTTATAATAGCCTTACTAGAAAAGGTAGTATATAAAAGCATTATATTTATATACTATTTTTAAAAAATTAGCCTGTCAATTTATTTGTGTTGTAGGCTTGTAGCTTAGGGTTCCATTAGTATCACTCTTCATTTTTGGAGGTCAGATGTTGTGTGAACACACGTGGCTGCTAGTAATTGGCAGAGAACTTTATTGTGGAAATCTGGGCCGTCGCTTCAAAGGATTACAGTAATATGCGAATCCAGATCTTCCGTAATGACACTAATGCCCTCAAACAGAAACTCTAATTGCAATCATGGCATGATTGATTGTCGTTTTCTGATTTCCAATACAGTGACTTTATATGTGGCCGTGTTGTACGCTCACTACACTACGCTTCTTTTCATCGAAAGGGTAAAAACAGAAATTGGTGATGAAGCTATGACCCTTCAACGGTCATGATTGAGACACTTGAACTAACAAAAAGTGAGCATACTCCAACTGTCTAAATTTTTTTACACTAATTTAATCAAATGTATAAAACGTTTTAATTCAAGTTTAATCTAATTTAGTTTCTAATTTTGAGTTTCTAATATAGTTTGAATTTAGATTGGTTACTAGACTAATAATTTTATCTTTGAGATTAGGTTGTATTTAAATTGAAGGATAAAATTGTTGGTGATGGATTTGATTTGAAAAAGCAAAGACTTTGAGTTGAATTTTGAATTTAGATAAGTGACATAAGAATTTGATATATGTTTGGAAAAATAATATTTAAAATAATATAATTTCAGAAACTATGAACTCTACCATAATTTTTTTAAAATAATAATTCCATTACTAAAGTTAACGGAAATAACGGATTTTCATGTGGACTACTGAACGGTAGAGATTATTTCAGTTATTGATTAGGTAAATTCTCGCTAGACACAATGTATAAAAATTTAATACTATATACATTTCATATTAGTTGTCTACTTCAAAAATTTTGACTCACAATTTTTGTGAGTTAAAGTTATCGAAATAGACATTTTATATGGGATATATGTACTATATAAGTATATAAAAGAAATATGATTAAAAATTATTTCAAATGACTCAAAAACAAAAGGTGATAATGAGTCAAAGTTTTTGGACAACTAGAATGGGACGGAGATAATATATCATAAATGACTATCAAAGTTTTTGGACAACTAGAATGGGACGGAAATAATATATCATAAATGACTTGTAACTTAAAATACAAGTGACTTGTGATTATGCTAATCTCGAATTGACAATCTTGTATTACTTACATGTAATTGGAGTTGGTTTGTCCAACTCAAATCTAAGTTTAATCATGATAGATAATTTTTAATCCAAACATACTTCGAATTTTAAAATTGCTACCCAAACCTGTAACTAATGAGAATATGTTGGCCAGCTCATTTTGTAATGAGTTTGTATTCAAAAGGCAGCCAAGTTAGTAATTATACATATTTTTGTATTTTTGTGTGCGTGAGTGTGTATATATATATGTACATATACAACGCCCTCATAATAAATGTACTTATTAATTGCCATATTTTTCTACCGGATCTTAAATATCTCATTTACAAGAGATGTCTAATATAGTACTTTTCAATATAAAAACGATATCTTTTTGAACACACAAATAATATCGTTACAAAGAGAATACAACACAAGAAATACACACAATGTTTTAGTGTAAATACATACTTTTGTACAAACTTTGAGTTCAACTTGATAAAATAGTTGGTTAAGGATTTGAAAAAATAAAGACTTTGAGTTTAACTTTCCATTTAGATAAGCTTTACAAATTTTTTTGTAGAATTCAAATTGAGAATTAACATAAGAATTTAATACATGTTTCAAAAACTCCACCCATAGAAAAGTATTTATGACAATAAAATTTCAAAAATTATGAAATCTACCATAATCCTTTTAAAATTATAATTCCACTATTAAAATAAATAAAGAACTCTTTGCAGGATCTTCCGGTGGACTAATGCATGGTAAGAATTGACAATCTTGTACTAGTTTTATTTAGTTAAAATTGTTTCGTACTTCAGTCCAAGTCAGATAAAGTTTAATTTGAATTTTAAAAATGCTACCCAAACCTGTAAATAATGGGATTATGTTGGCCAGCTCATTTGGTAATGAGTCTGTTGTATTCAAAAGGTAGCCAGTTCAAACTTTTGTATTTTAGTATGTGTGTGTGTATATATATATATATATATATATATCTATATAACATATACAGATGCCCTCATAGTAAATGAACTTATTAATTATCATAAATTCTTATGTAATATGTAATATCTCCTTTACAAGATATTCGTAATACAGTAATTTCCAACATCAAAATGACATCGTTTAAACACACAAATAATACCATTACAAAGAGAACATAACACAAGAAATTCTTTAATATAGTACATACTTTCGTACAACCTTTGAGTTCAACTTAATAAAATAGTTGGTTAATGATTTGAAAAAGTAAAGACTTTGAGTTTAATTTTCGGTTTAGATAAGCTTTACAATTTTTTTTTAGAATTTAAATTGAGAATGGCATAAGGATTTAATATATGTTTCAAAAACTCCAGAAAAGTATTTATGACAATAAAATTTCAAAAACTATAAAATCTACCATAACCCTTTTAAAATAATAATTCCACTACTAAAATAAATGAAAGTAACTTTCTGCACTGCAGTGGATTTTCTCGGGGACTAGTGCATGGTAAGGATTGACAATCTCGTACATTTAGTTGAAGTTATTTCTAAGTCAAATTTAAGTTTAATCTTGAATAAAAATTTCTAACCCAAACATAATTTGAATTTTTAAAATACTACTCGAACTTGTAAATAATGGGATTTTGTCGGCCAGCTCATTTTGTAATTATACTTACTTTTGTATTTTTGTGTGTGTGTGTATATATATATATATATATATATATATATATATATAACTTTACAGATGCCCTCATATTAAATGTACTTATTAATTACTATTGTCCTAATATAATGCATTAATCAGATTTTCTTACTTAATTCGAAATATCTCCTTCATAAAAGTCATACAGTACTTTCCAACATTGTATCGTTTTTTTGCTTAATTTGCTTAGACCTTCTTGTATTTTATGTTATTGTGGTAAAAATTTTTGTTGCCAAAAAAAAACACAAGCTAGTTCTGATATTATTGAAGGAGATATTAGATGGTGTGATTGGCCACATAGTATAGAACTCCACACATCTACACTAACAGATCAAGGGCAATAACGTAATTACAGGGAAATCAAGGGGCGATTATTATTATGATGATGGTGCATATTTATGATGATGATGATGATGATGATGATGATGATGATGATGATAGACATAACATAGCATAAGATGGAGCGAGAAGAGAAGAGTTTTGACTTGATTAGTTCAATTTAGAGAAGAAAGGTAAAGAAGGAATGAAGAAAATTCAATCCGATCGAATGCAGTTTTGACGTCCGCTAGGAGACACTCTCTCTCCTCTCTCTCCCTCTTCACTCTCTCTCTCTCTCTATAAGATACAGCGCAAAACAGGGAACTCTGTTTCTCTCTCCTCCCCCTCTCCTCTCTCTCTACACAGCCCCTCCCTCTCTACACACAGACTAATGAGATTGATGGATTGAAGAAGGCTTCGAACGAAGATTATACACAAAAATAATAACTATTATATATATTTATACATGTATCTGTTTAATGCACATGAACGAAAGCAAGTTGAAGAGGAAGAGTAATAGTAGATTATGTTCAAATTTCGCGAGTTACAGTGTGTTGTACGATCGCAATCTGCGGAGTTTTCAGAGACTTTAACTTTTGAATTCATACTTTGGTAAGTACTCACACTTATTCGGCTACAGTGTTTGTGTTCTCGAGTTCAGTTTCAACTTCAAAATCATAGAGATTTTCACTCGTTTGAGTTCTGGATTGACAATTTTGCCTTTTGTTACACGGTTAGGGCTCGATCGAATGGTTCGGTGTTGCTGTTGTCAATATTTTTATGTCATTCTTTATACTGTATATTATCATTTCATTTCATAAATTTCATTTTCTTATATATATATATATATATATTTGTTTGGGGTTTTAACATTGCAATTTGAGATGAGAAATGTGGAAAGGGTCATATTTTGTCAGTTTGTTTGCTCAATTTTTGTGAGTTTTGAGTTCAATTTGTGAGGTCTGGAGATTTATGTTTGTATCTGTACAAGTTCATGATTTGGTGCTTTTGAGGAAGGTTTTGGTTCACTCTTTTGGGGCATTGAAAGATTCAGAAGCTGTCTTTAATAGTAAAAGTTTGATTTGTTTAATTTATTGCTTTTGCAGAATGGTTCAAGGTGAAGTAGATCTATAACTTGCCAAATTCTGCAGTGATTCATGCAAAATTTGGCTGAAGGTTGTTTTCTCTCCGAGTCAAGGCAATTCTAGGATGTTCAGAACCCAAGCTTGTTGCTTGCTTTTGGTTTTATTGTGTAATTTACTTGTGCTCGCTAACACTGAACACCATATGTTTCGGCACAAAGGTTTTCTAATTCTCTTGGTGCACAATAAGGACTCTCGAATTTCTACCCCGTGGTTGTGAATCTAATATGACTGCCAGTTCGATTAAAGCGCCCGAAGTTGTGCATTTTTTTCAGTAATTGTTGTTTACTTGCATCTTGTGGTGCTGAGTGTTGAATTCATGTTATTTTAGATAGTTTTGTACTTGGTGTTTGTAGATTGTAATTTTGGAATTATGATGCCCTCGGGTCCTCCCACTCCTATCAGTGGTGCCCAGTCTGTTCCGTCTTCACTACTGCGATCGAACTCTGGTTTGTTGGGTGGTCAAGGGGGTTCGTTGCCTTCACAGAATGCATTCCCGTCTCTCATGTCACCTCGTACACAGTTCAATAGCACGAATATGATTGGGAATGTGCCCAATGTTTCATCGCTCCTCCATCAGCCTTTTGGAAATGGGGGTATAAATTCTGGACTTTCTGGTCCCGGGAGTACACCACGGGGAGTTATGGACACTGGGGCTGAGTCCAATCCTCTTTCCGGTGTTGGAAATGGAATGGGCTATAATACCCCTTCGTCATCATTCTTACCATCCAACATGGCAAATGCTGTTTCATCGGGTCAAGTTCAGGCACAACAATTCCCAGACCCTTCTGGCAATCATATATTACCGGATCAACAACAGTCCCAACAACTCGAATCTCAAAACTTTCAAAATAATCAGCAGCCATTACAACAGTTCTCTGCCCCGCACAACCAGCAGCAGTATCAAACAATCCGGGGTGGATTAGGTGGTGTTGCTCCTGTCAAGCTGGAACCTCAGGTGATGAATGATCAACATGGACAGCCACCACAGCAGTTGCAGCCTTTGAGAAATCTTAATCAAGTGAAACTGGAACCGCAGCAAATCCAGGCTATGAGAAGCCTGGCTTCTGTCAAAATGGAACCTCAACATTCGGATCAGTCATTGTTTCTGCATCAACAGCAGCAGCAGCAATTTCTCCACATGTCCAGACAATCCCCTCAGGCTACTGCTCACATGAATCTTTTGCATCATCAGAGACTCTTGCAGCAGCAGCAGCAACAGCAGCAACAACAACAGCAGCAGCAGCAGCAGCAGCAACAGCAACTCTTGAAGGCTTTTTCTCAACCACGATCTCCATTACAATCTCAGTTTCAATCACAGAGTACAACTTTGAGGTCTCCTGCAAAACTCGCATACGAACCTGGGATGTGTGCCCGGCGGCTGACACATTATATGTATCAGCAACAACACAGGCCTGAGGTAATTTTTCTTTGCAGAAGGAATCGTTTATTAAAATTGATATTGTGGGGATGTTATGAATTGTAATTATGACCTAAATTTATGTAGGACAACAACATTGAGTTTTGGAGAAAATTTGTTGCTGAGTACTTTGCTCCCAATGCCAAGAAGAGGTGGTGTGTTTCTATGTATGGAAGTGGTCGCCAGACGACTGGAGTGTTTCCTCAGGTGTGCTCTTAACTAGAGAAAACCTGGTGAAATTATGATGCTGCTGGGGTTTTCTAATACAGTTAATTTTTAGTGCACTGAATAGTACACGAGGCCGATATGTTATTATCTTACATATTAATTATTTTCTAAAATATCCACTTAATATAAGTTTTGAATTTCCTATATCCGTGGATATCTTGTGTAGACATTCTGAAATGATGTATATATTTATAGTTTAATTATTTCCTTGTTTAACAGTGTCAAACATTGGTTTTAACTATATAAACCTTATTTGCAATTATGCAGGATGTATGGCACTGCGAAATATGCAACCGCAAACCAGGCCGTGGATTTGGTAGGTTTTACTTGTTGGGATTTCAAAAATATTGTCATTTACAGAAACTGTTGTGATCCATGGATTGGTGTACTTATTATAATTTTTATTTTTATTTTTATTTTTATTTTCTGGTTAGGTAAGTACTCACACACACACATTGCCCACGCTGGGGCATGAAACCATCCCCTCCCCCTTTGAGGGAAGGGATGTTATACCATTGGGCTAATAACCCATTGCCAACTTAATTCTTGGCTTAGGTGCCGTTTGATAAAACTAAAAATTGTACTGAAAATTTTAAGAGCTGAATTTTAAGTTCTGAAGTTTTTAAGTGGTAATAAAAAATTAAATATTTGTTTGATATCTTTTGAAATTTTCAGTGTTCAGCATTGAGTGATGAGTGATGTACATGTCACTTAAAATTTTGCCCCATTTTAAGTGCCACTCACCATTTTCAGTGATATTCAAATTGTGTTATGAAACACACTTAATTGGATAAGCACTTAATTCGTTCAGAATTAAGAACTGAATTGAGTTATCAAACAACACCTAGCACTTGTTTTCTTTGTTTCTTTTATTTTATTTAATTTTATGCTACATTTGTGGAGTTTTATATAAATCTTCATTAGTATCTAAATTCTGTTAACTATATTTTCAGAGGCAACTTTTGAGGTTTTGCCCAGGCTTTTCAGAATCAAGTATGAAAGTGGTACTCTGGAGGAACTTTTGTACGTTGATATGCCCAGGGAATATCAGAATTCATCTGGCCAAATAGTCCTGGACTATGCAAAAGCTATCCAGGAAAGCGTTTTTGAGCAACTTCGAGTTGTCCGTGATGGTCAACTTCGAATAGTTTTCTCTCCAGACCTAAAGGTTACAAATGGATAGATTTGCTTTGCTTCACAGAAGGTTACCCTTTTAGAGGCATTATTTACTCGTTCCTGTTCCTTCTTTCATTCTTTTGTTAGATATGCTCTTGGGAATTTTGCGCTCGGCGTCATGAAGAGCTTATCCCTAGAAGATTGTTGATACCTCAGGTTATTGATTTAGACTCTTTCCATAAGAACCTTCTTTTTTACTGTGATGTCAAGTATAAATGTTTTGCTTGGAACCTTCACTTGGTCAGACTTATGGTTACTTGTGTTTTTGATATTCTTCTAGAGTTATGCTAGACACTTGGGCTTTGTTTTTTATTTATTTTATTTTTTTTTGGGTTTTTCTTTTAAATACTTTTGATAGCAGCAAGAGACATATTCTCTCTCTCTATCGATATAGTCAGTTTTTATCAAAGGCTAAATAGTTTTAGAATAAGCACATTTAAATAAAATTTTCTTTGTGATGGCCTTTCTGTGCTCAAGTAACTGTAGTAGTTCTCATTTCTTTTAAATTTAATAAGAAGATGAAAATCATTATATAAGAAGTAAACAGATATATATTTTAAGTGGAGGTGGCTTAGTTATATGTAATGATCTCGAGAGCTAATGAGTGGTGACATGATGGATGTTTGCACCTTTCTCTGCTTAGCTGCTCATGCCTTCCTGCTCCTTTTGTCACGAGTAGGAACCAGGCAGCTAAAGGTAACCCAAAAAAAAACTATAATTTTGAGCTGTAATTTATGGCGTTTCTGTTCTCTCTCTCTCAATTTTTATTTATTTTTACGAGAAAACATCTGATTGGATTTTGGTTTGAATAGTTACTCCCATGATCTGAGACTTTCCACCCGCTCCCCACAGGAGAGAAAAAGAGGAGAGGGGGAGAGGAGTGGGGGTTGGTTCTCTTAGTGGCAGATTTGTATGGATAACCAAAATTGTATGTTTCTGCTGGATGCTCGGTATTGTATGACAGATTAGAGTGCTATTGGCATATCTGTATCATTCATCTTTGACTGTTGTTGACTTCAATATGCAGGTTAGTCAACTTGGGGCTGCGGCTCAGAAATACCAGGCTGCAACTCAGAATGCATCTTCCAGTTTAACTGTCCCAGAGTTGCAAAATAACTGTAACATGTGGGTCTGCTTTTCTCATGTTACCTTGTTTTTATAAAATGTCAGAGCTTTCAAATATCTGAATAAATAGAATTCTTAGCTTATCCCTCTTTCTCTTACTTCTATACTTCTCATCTCTGTGTATGTTATCTTTTGGGGTTGGGTTGTCACGTGAAATATTTTTCTGGTCCACATACTAGTATTTGTTTTGATGTTTGTAATCTGGTGGTGCATTCATATTTATTGATTGTTGTTACAAATGACAAGCTTTATAAACATCTACATTCAATTAAGCACTGTTCCTCTCGACAAAAAAAAAAAAAAATAGATGTATAAAATAAAATAAAAAAAATTGGTTTCAGCTTTCAAGTGGTTGCACGTTTTACATCATATTCATGGAAATGGTACATCTTAAGTCAGAACTTAATTGTCACTTCTTCAAATGGCTCATATTCCTTTTTTTTTTTTTTTTCATTGGCAAGAAACTCACACACCCACTTTGTCCCTTTGGGAACTCGAACTCTCACCATCCACTTTGGAAGGTAGAGGAGATACCACTAGGCCACAAGGCCCTTGGTAAATGGCTCATATTCAATTATCAGTTTGTATGATATGGTGAGCTGTTCAGAAGGAACCGCATAATAACCAATGAATAATGCTGTCAATCCTGAAAATAATCTCCTTTCTTCTTGTGGGACTGCATGTCCTGGAGTAGATCATTCCATCCACCTTTACTATATCTGGTGAAAGTTTCAGTCCAGTTGATCCCTGAAAATGTTATTTAAAACATTGATTTTTTCATTACATTAATGTATTGGGTGTTTATCATGTACTTAATTGATACTGTGTGATGTGCAATGGATTTTAGATTATTAATGTATAATTCTGCTTCAGGTTTGTCACATCAGCTCGTCAATTGGCAAAAGCATTGGAAGTGCCATTGGTAAATGATTTAGGATATACAAAGAGATACGTGCGATGCCTTCAGGTAATGCACGTCAATGTCCGGTTCTAAATTTGGTCCTTAATATCAGAAATTGAATGCAGTGGGTGTCTCCTGAATTCTACTGTTACACTGACAGGATTGAGGATACTGTAAATTTTAATGCACTGCTCTTTCATTTCTTTTTTTCCTCGAGATATTCTCATTTTAGCCATCCTGACCAGGATTCTTTTCTTATCACACTCATATCTCATTTGTATATAAAATGTTTAATGTTCGAATGTTAATGCATTGCTTTTTAATTTCTTTCTTTCCTTGAGATATTCTCATGTTTAGTGATCCTGACCAGGATTCTTTTCTTGTCACACTCATATGTGTTTTGTGTATTGTTAACCATCATCTACTCTAAAAACTTAAGCTGCTAGAGAGGGTGTAACTTTAATATTTAAATCATTCAACACGCCCCCTCATATGTGGCCTTCTTTTGGTCCAACAAGTGTTTCAATTTTAATTATCAGTGCGACATCGAGGTTTGAACACTAGACCTTGCCTGCTGTGATACCATGTTAACCACCATCTACTCTAAAAGCTTAAGCTCTTAGAGAGAGTGTAACTTTAATATTTAAATCCTTTTATATAAAATGTTTAATGTTTGAACCATACAAATTTGGTTGCCAAGTCCTTTTTCTTATATGGATGGTTTGTGATTAAGTAGGGTGCATATTTTCCATTGTTATAATTTTTTTGGTAAGTATTCATTGAAGAGCGCCCAAAAGGGGGACACGGCCCAGAACAACTGCACAAAAACTATAGCCTCTAGCGATCCATAACAGACAAAAGAATATCCATAGATTTACAATTAGAGCCCTGTACCCAAAGAAATAAAGAACTAAGAACAGAAAATCTAACCACCACCCTAGGAGATTACAAGCCATCAAAGGATCTCCTATTCCTTTCCTTCCAAAGAGCCCACTGTATACACAAGTGGTGGTCCTCCACACATCTCTGAGTTGGGGTGCAGACAACAACCTCTCCAAGCATCAATCAAGCTTGTTGTGGACTTGGGTATGACCCAGTGGATCCCAAAATTGGAACAAAGCAAATCCCTGCCATCCCTAGCTCTAGGGTAATGCAAAAGGAGATGATCCACGGACGACTCAGCCCTCTTGCACATGCAACACTAAAAAGGAAAGTAATCAAAATCAAACAAAATTTGAATGAAGATTTGAAGGAACAGTACCAAGATTCTCTGCATTGATTTAGTTAGGACAATTGCAGCATGATTCTTGCCTAGATTAATTCACAATCTCATGATTCTCTAGTTAGGACAATTGTAATCTATCCTTACCTTTTTTGTCGTGATCTATTCTTGCATAGATTAACTCACAATCCCACGTTACCTTACCTCTTCCATTTCCATCATCCACAACTGTAGATCATACTCCTTCCACTACTTTCATTGAACGTATTTCCACCTCTATTTCACTTTCTTCACCTATCACTCCCCATGATTCCTCTTTTATAATTACCGAACCAACCCTACCTCTTAAATGATGAGCTCTTATTACCTACACCAAACCTAGCCTCTCTTCCTCCTCCCACAAATTCCCATCCTATGATTACTCAAACTAAGGATGGTACTTGTTGTCTTACATTGTGCTCACCTCTCATCACCCAATCCCTTCTAACCACCTTAGCCACTTTACCTTCACCCACTCTCCAAGAACTAATGACTTCTCGCCAAGCCATCAAAGACCTTAAATGGATTGCTGCAATGCAAGATGAATATTTGGCTCTACTCAATAATAATACTTGGACTTTAGTTCCTTCTCGTCATTCCGTGGACATCATGGGTTGTAAGTGGGTTTACGGCATTAAAAGGAGAAGTGATGGTACAACTGAACGGCATAAAGCACACCTAGCTGAGTTTATTTTGAAGATCCCTTTAGTCTTGTTGACAGGCCTACAACAATTCGAACTATGTTATCAATTGTTGTATCTCGCAATTGGCCCACTCGACAACTTGATGTGAAAATGCATTCTATCGTGGACTTATTCAAGAAGATGTTTTTATGCAACAACCTGGTTTTGTTCATCCTCACCAACCTTATGTATGCAAAGCTCAAGAAGGCTATATATGGTCGTCGACAAGCAACACGTGCTTGGTTTCACTGGCATTTCTCTTGAAAATTGGATGTACTCGAAGTAAATAGCTCTATGTTTACTTTACATTCGAGTAGTGGCATGGTTGTTCTTCTACTTTATGTTGACGACATCATTTTAACCGGTGATACTAATTCTTTACTTGATGAACTCATTCATCAATTGATAGAAGAATTTGTTATGACTAATCTTGGTGAACTTAACTTCTTTTTAGGTATTGAAGCTTCTCGCACTCGTGATGGTATTACACTTGCTCAAAACAAATACACTCTTGTTCTTTTTGAACGAGCAACCATGATTGATTGTAAACCATGCCCCACTCATGTTACTTCTGGATCTAAAATGTCTCTTACTGATGGGACTCCTCTCTCTAATCCACGAGTATTGCAGAATTGTGGGTGCTCTTCACTATCTCACTCTCTCTCGTCCTCACATATGCTATTCAGTCAATCATGTCAGCCAATTTATACATGCTCCAACTACAACTCGTCTCTAAGTAGTCAAGCACAATTTACGATATCTCAAAGGCACCCTTGGCACTGGCATTTGAATTTGTCTTGGACCGTTACAGCTTGCGTCTTTTTCTGATGCTGATTGGGCGGGTTGTCCTAATACTCAATGATCTACACATTTTAGGGCCAAATCTCATCTCCCGGGGTCTTAAAAAGCAGGCAACTGTCTCTTGCTCTAGTATGGAAGCTGAATAAAAAACTATAGCTATCACTACTTCTGAAATGTTCTGGCTTTCTCTTCTTCTTAAGTAACTTAGTTGTCCCTTTTCATCTCCTAGGGTGATACGTTGTGACCACCTCAGCACTTCTCACATGACTGCAAATCCAATTTTTCATGTGCGTACAAAGCACGTTGAAGTTGATTACCACTTTGTTCATGACTTAGTTGTTACTGGCGAGCTTCAAGTCAAGTTTGTTCGTTCCCCTTCACAAGTGGCTGACATCTTCACAGAAGGACTTCCACATTTTTCCTTTATATGGTTTCAAACTGTTGTGGTTTTCCGCCAACAGTTTACGGGGGAATAAAGAGGAAAGTGTTCAAAATCAAACAAAATTTGAATGAAGATTTGAAGGAAGATTCTACAGCTTGATTCTCGTCTTGATCAATACACAATCCAAGATTCTCTGGATTGATTTACTTAGGACAATTGCAGCATGATTATTGCCTATATTAACTCACAATCCAATGATTCTCTGCATTGATTTAGTTAGGACAATCGTAATCTCTATTCTTACCTTTTTTGTTTTGATTTTTTTTTTTTTTTTTCCCTAGTTGTGTTTGATTCTTTTCCTTGTATGTACTTCATAAAGTGATATATATACTCAATTTGTACATTGGAAGCAAACAGATAGTTTTTACCCTATAACCACCATTCTCTACAAACACCAATTAATGATAATCTAATGTCTCCTTCAGTCAAGATCCTCCCCAAAGCCTCTGTCCAACCAAAAAAGGCCACCTTTAGGGGGGCTTGCAAACGTTAAATTCCTTTTCATGGAAAGGACATTACTTGAGTGTCCATCAAACGACAATATAATGAGCGGACCTCAAATCTCCAATATCTCGATCCCGCCCAAAGCCACTCATCCATCCCCTCTCCGAATATAGCCCGGCTATAGAGCAAAGCCAAAAACTCCGCCATCTCCTCCACTTCCCAATCATGAAGGACTCTCTCAAATAGTAGATCCCTAGACAGTCTCCCACCATCAAGAAGATAGAAATGAGCGACCATCGTCTGCCTATCAGCCGCAATCCCAACCAGTCTTAGAAAGGCACTCACAAGCGGTCTATCTCCACACCATGGGTCATCCCAAAGACTGACGAGACTCCCATCTCACCCTGAAGTGAATATGCTTAGAGAATTCATCCCGACCCTTTCGGATGTTCTTACACAAGCTAACTCCTGTCGGGGCCCTTGACAACAACGAGCACCGCCTCTGCCTTTGGACTAACTATATCTAAAGCAAACGAACCCCCTCCAAAGTCTGTGCCTCTCCACCCCAAACCCCCCACCTGAATGGGCGTACAGATCTGGGCCGGTGCTCCCACCCCACTAGATGATATTTGAACTCATCTCCCACGACACCACATAATAAATTCATCTGCAATCTCCCTAACCTCCCCACTAGTGGTTTCCAAGTCCTTTCTGCTCCGTAATCGTAGTGAAACTCCATATTCCTATAGTAACTACCTTAGGAGGGTTCACTTTTAAAATTTTGGGCACACTGGCATCATCTGATCTGTTCTCTTGCCTGGTATTTGCTTCTTTTAAAGTAATTGTTGTTAGTTTTAGGTTGGGCAAGATTTTGATAGTAATGAACAATGGTGGGATCAACTGCATGGATCTGTCCTTTATTGAGCTCTGAAGAACCCTTGCATTGCTGTCTGCTCTACTCAGACAGATTCCTTTATCATCTAGAAATTGGTCTTACAGTTCTGATTCCTTAGAACTTCTACTTTCAGCTCCAAGTTGATTTACCCCTTTCCTCAAAATATTCTACCATTGGATTCGTTCAAGGCTCTGTATTGCGTGCGCTGAAGGTTTAAACCATTGGTTTACCATTAAGAGCCCCAAAATTTGATTAAATACTTCAATGTGGTGCCTGAAATAAATGGTATGATTTGTTATTGAATTATGACATCATAGATGTTTGCATTTGTTATAATAATGGCTAGGGGCTTTCATGACCTGTCCAGACCTTAGTCACACAATTCGTCCAAAGTGCCCCGCTTTCAAGCTCCGCACGCGGATTTGCGATTTTGGAGCGAATTCGCACAAAATCCGCGAATTCAATTTTTGCAATTCGCGAATTTGTTTTCCTAATGCGTGATTTCCGTACGAATTCACTTTATACAACTAAATTTGTTACAGTCCCAATGATATGAAACACCTATATTACAATATATGCATTTATTACTTACACTATTACTCAATATATACATTAATTACTTAAACTGATACCATATATATATATACTAATTATACATGTTTGGAAATATACCACTAAAAAACTTCCCAATCGGAGAATATTACAAATAAACCATGCATCTATTAGTGAGAAAAGATAGCTTATTTATTACATATATATCATTAATGGAATAAATAATAATGAATATATTTGCATATGGATTTAAATAAATATAAAATATACATGTCATGACCTGATATAATTTTATTTAAACCCAATATACAGACGCTCTCAAGACGCTCCCGCTTTAAAAAAAATTTAGACTTTGATACTTTCGCGCTCTCGCTTTCGCTCCTGCTCTCGCACTCGCTCCCGCTCTGTGTGACATAGGTCCAGACCCTAGGTGGTGTGGAATGGGGAAACATGAAAATGTGACCGGACTGTGGTACTTTTTTAGAATTGAGTTAAAATAATGGAAGCTTCATTTAAAACGTGACAGTATGTATAATCTACAAGATATCAATATGAAGCATCTAGAGTTCTACTTTTTAATTAAAATTTTAATGCACATATCAGATGTCAACCTTGTCTATGCTTTAAGCAAAACCAAGAGATTCAAAAGTGAAAGATACCTGAAGGTTGCATCGAGGAGTGTCTTTATACAGTAGGCCAGACTGTTTGGCATTGATATTTTACTGCTATGGAACATTAAAAAACATAATGTTTTACTATCTAACGAGTAACGAGGTTGGATGACGACTGCAATAAACTGATGAACAATGCCAAGTTGGTTATTTCAAGGCAATGTAGTTCGACATGATTAACTGTTATGATACCAAATCCGAACTTGACATTGTTTGACTAGCATTTTGTTTATTAAGGTTTCTTTGCTAAATGGTTAAGCAATTACTGAATTGGTTCTTCTGGTCACTGCTAATTGTTGTGTCACAAAAGATGCGTAAATGTTTAAACATTCTCTTCTAATGGGGATGACAATAATTAGTCAATCATGAAATATTTTCATGATACACATCACGTGAATTTAGTATGGGCATGTATGATCTACACACACCGCCATAAATATTTTGGATTGAAAGGAAACTCCTTAGATTAGGGTTCTACCAAGTTTAATCTAATTAAATAAAGTGGGATTCCTTCATCAGCATACTGTAACTCTAACCTTCCAATCTTAGCCTTGAATTTTATTTATTTATTTATTTTTTTTGGTGCAGCTGTAATCTGTCAGGCTTCTTTTCAATTCCATAATTCATGAGACAATAGTAGGTTAGGTGGACCCATTATTATTATTCATGAGATTATGGAAGGAATCCACTGTGGCCTATAACCAATTTTTGATTTATGCCAGGAGATCCATAATGAAAGCTATTTACTTGTTAAGATAATTTGTTGAAGAATGTAGGAGTAAGCAAGAAGATCTGCATATGGTCTTTTATAGACTTAGAGAAAGTTTATGGTAGGGTGCCGAGAGATGTAATTTGGTGGGAGTTACAAAGAAAACAAATTCCTTTAGATGTGATGAGAATTATTTAAGACATGTACCCCCGAAACTAGAGTTCGCACTACATGCGGTGATGGAGATTTTCTTATAAACATGGGTTTGCACCGAGGGTCTACACCAAGTCCATATTTATTTACATTAAACTATTTACAAGAAAGCATTTCTTGTTGCACGTTGTTTGTCGATGACATAGTACTAGTGGACACTTCTAAAGAAAACAGAGCAATTAAATTAGAAATGTGTGGAAATGCATTAGAATCAAGTGGGTTAACGGTTAAATGAGCTAAAACTGAATATATGGAATGCAAATTCAGTGAAGAGTCAGATATTAATGAGGTAATGACTACACTTCAAAATCAAAGAATTATCCAAAGTGCACACTTTCGGTATTCAGGGTCATTAATACAAAAGATTGGTGTGATAGATGGAGATATAACTAGTAGAATTGGCGCAAGTTGGACAAAATGGAGGCAAGCTGGTAGCGTTTTGTGTGATAAATGAATGCCCTATAGGTTGAAAGGAAAATTTTATAGAATGGTTATTATTCCAACTATCTCATATGGCGCAGAGTGTTGGACTTTAAAAAATAAGCAGGAAAAACGAATTCATGTAATGAAAATGAGGATGTTACGATGGATGATAGGAGTTACTAGAAGAGATAGGGTTACAAACCAAAATGTGAGGTAGAAATTAGGGTGACATCTATTAGTGATGTGGTATGGACACACACACACAAGAACTATAGATGCACTGGTGAGAAGAGGAAGGCTAATTTGCATAGAGGATTAGAGGGTAGGAGGCAAAGAGGGCGCCCGACATTAACATGCAATGAAATCATTAGAAATGATTTTAAGAAATTAAATTTTAGAGGTGAGATGGCTTGTAATAGAATAGAATGGAAATAGAGAATTCATGTGGCCGATCCCATTCATGTCGTATTAAGGCAGGGATGATTATTATTATTGTTATATTTGACGTGTATCATTAAGTTGTTTGACACTAACCAATTTATTTATTTATTGTTAAAAAAAAATTTAACATTTATTTTTTGGCTTTATGAAGAGTACATTTTCATTTGTAATAGTTGGAGTGAAAAAGCACATTCATCTAATAGAATGATCTATGTATAAAAACAATTAGGTATATATTGTAGTTAAATTAGGAAACAGTGTTTGGGATCAAAGCATCTTAGGAATTGGATATCAAAATGGTAAAAGGAAATGAAAATATTCGAAGTGAAATCCCATTTTTTGCGCATTTAAAATAGTAACATGAGGGTAGATTTGGATAAACTGCAAAGTTTATTTCAATAATTTTCAAATCCCATGAAATCTGACAATTTTTCATTGGATTTTAGACCACCACATTTTGGTATTTGAAATCCCTTCAAATCCTATCCCGGTTCTAATATATTTCATTCCAAATAATAGAAATCACACAGAAAAATCCTGACCCCATTAAAACCATCATTTCAAACGCAGCGTAGAAGAATTGAATTGCGGGTGGTTTGAGGTATAAATGGACAATAGCTTGTAGATTAAAATAGGAAACCGAATGAATTGATATCTGAGTTGTATGAGGTATGAATGGACATTTAGGGTCTTTTTGGCGTAGCTGTTGTGATGAAAAAAATGCTTTTATTAGTAGAGTTGTCATAAAATTGCTGTTATTAACATGTTAGATATTTGGTTATGCATTTTATAAAGGACTTTTCACAATTAAAGCACTTTTTAATTTGTTTGGTATTATATTGTTTAAGTCACTTTATCACTAATTTTATAATATTGCCCTTTAATAGAGTGTTCATATAGTTGGTAATAGCAAGACTATATAAAATACATGATAAAATTGTCTTTATAAAAAAAAATGAATAAGATTGTCTAAGGAATACAGTTGTGTCTATATTGAACTTCTACCCGAAACACAGTTTTAAAATCTAGAAATTTTAGCTTCATTTGAAAGATCCAGTGAGCTAAATTCTCAACCATTCAAATGTACTCTTTTGGGTTACCAAACAAATTTGCAAAATTTTAAAATAAAAACGCATTTAAGTGGTTCAATCAGAATTCCAAATGGGCTTTTAGTCATAAAGTACTAATTTGTGCCGGCCACGAGAGTGATACCAAATCAAGGCTAAAAGTAGATACCATATATGACTCTGATAACACCATTCTGGGGAAGTCCATTCCCAAGTCACCAAATGGTTAAATCGGCAATATCTAAGATAGGACTAACTAATGTGATTTACCTGAATTACCCTGGGGTGGGGTGCGTGTCCGCGGGGAGTATTCTTTTTGTTGTGTCGGATTATGGTGTACTGTTTTAGACTTATACCACAACATATTTCTTGATTTTATTAGATGTATTTGGATTACACAATGTAAAAAATATTTGATGAATATCAGTAATTGATTTCGATTCGGATATTATTAAACCCTATTTTTTCTGTTAGAGTCCAACTCAGGTCAGCCTCTTTAGATTCTAACAGTTTGTAAACAGGCTGGGGTGGAACTGGGAGACTAGATACAGAACCCTAGCATGAACCTGATACGGATTGGCCAATGGAACTTGCTTGACTATATGCACATGATCCCCGTTTTACGAGAGGTGGAGGGGGCATATCCAAGAAGTCTGACTTATTACATCCTTAATATGTTGGCATTGTAACTATGTGCATTTGTAATTATAGATTTAATGGTTGTGCTTATCAGCATCGCCCTTTACCCAAGGCTTCAATAGGGTTGGAACGAATGTATAACAAGAAATCTTGGAATATCCAATTGTTGAGTGACTTGAGTCAATTGGGAAGGAGAAGAGCACTACCTTTGTTTGTGTTTACACAATTACCAACAATAACCATCCCCTTAACCAGATATTCCATTTTTAGGATATATGACTTTGTGACAGTGAATTGAAAGAATTTTTTATTTTTAAAACAAAATTAATATCTGTAGATGAAATATCACTGTTCTCTAAACAGGACTCTGGGGAACTGTATATTTTAGTTCTGAGTGATGATCCTTTTGTCTCATATGTTTTCTGGTTTCATTGCAGATATCAGAAGTGGTTAATAGCATGAAAGATTTGATTGATCACAGCCGAGAAACTGGGACTGGACCAATGGGTAAGCATATACCTTTTTTTTTTTCATTTATTTCCTCTATTTTATCTTGTTAGAAAACTTGGAAGGCTGCCAAGGCATGCTGGAAAAGTAGATAAGAGAATGGATCTGAAAATTTTCACAGCTTCTGTTTCAGTGTTGCTTTAAGTTGAGGTAATAATTAATATGAAATAATTGGTGGAGTCCAGGTACACACCAAACAACCGTTCATAGATGATATTAGAACTTGTTTTCCTTCATTTGGACAGCCGAAAACCTTGTTTTTAACGTAGTACTAACCTTTTTGCAAACATGTTCCTGTTGGGAAGGTACTGAGAGAGTCCTTAACTTATTTCTTGAACTTTCTTTCGTGTTACTGCATAACTTCTTGTTGTAGTTACAACATAATGGCAATGAAGGCGTTTTGTTTGATGCATTATGGTATTACCGATTTTATCTATTTTTTAATTTTTTAATGTCTTTTAGCATTTGGGCTTTGTATGGTAAGAGGTATGGAACATTGGGAGGGAGGTAAAAGAGGGATGGAAAAAAGTATCCCTAGGGAAAGGATGCTGTGTGTCCCTCTTTTTGTTTGGTTGAGCAGGAATGAAAGGAAAAAGGAAGGAAAGGACTATTGCTTGCATTTACTATTATACTCTTACATTATTGAAGGGTGTTGTTTGAAGGGGAAAAACGTAGAAGAGGCTCCTTCCTTTCCATATCCTTTTGTCCAACTTCTGTGGGGAGGAATGTGGAGGAGACTCTATACATCCTCCTCCATTCCTCGCCTCCTCCCTTCTTTCCACTCTTTCATCCTAACAAGCACACCATTGGTGTTTTCGTTTTTTTTTTGGCTTTTAGAAGATCATAAAGGTTGTAAGAGCAAATATGGAATTATGGATTGGATGGATAATTGACTCTGTTGCTTGATTGTCTTCTTAGCATTTCTGCTTTTTCTAGAATTCATCATATGCTTTAAATGCTGGTCTGCCAATTATTGTTACAAAAAAGGTAACTAAAGAAGCATTTTTAGAGATTAACTTTAAGGCACAGAACCACTTTTGGTAGTTAAATGCTAGAGTAGTGAGGAATTATGAAGGTGAGTTCTCTAGGATAAGGAAGATAACATGCAGATTCAGATAGCATTGAATGTATAGAGTGTAAATAGACGCATTTGATCTGTTAGGAGAATCCGAAACAACCATTTGAAGAAATTAGATGAATGGATAATCTTTGAGGTGATAGGGACTGTAGGTAGAAATAATTTTCGTTTTTTGAAGGCACCTAGTGGCAGATTTTGTGAAAGACTTAAATTTGGAGTTGTAGATTATTATAGCAACAATATTTAGTGTGGAATGATGATAGGAGGATAAGAATTTCATATAGTGGACATTATGATTGTTTGTCCTTGACAAAAATTCTCAGGAGTTGCTACCTTCTTCATTTAGCTCTTTCATTGCTGTTGAGGTTTAAAATATATTTGGCGGACAGACCTGTTGTAATCCTGTATAAGGAGACATGAGCACTCCTTAAGAATGTGCAAATTGAATCAGAAGAGACTACCTATATGTTATTTATCCTAATGTTGATGTGTCTCCGGGGCCTAATAGTTTCTCTCGTGGACAGTGGATCATGTTAGGGTGTCATACACCATCAAAGGAAGATATCATAGATATCAAGATAGTCTTCACACATTTCGTGTGAGTGGGATAACCAGTCACTGTTCTTAAGCTACTTTCTGTGATTTGATAAAGATTTTTTTTTTTGGTCAATTTTTTAATTCGATTCCGAATAAAGTAGCATATTATGCCAAAAGAGACTTTGAATGATTGATTTGGTTTGTAGTCTTTATGAAATGCCACTGAGGATTTCCTAGGAGTTTGGGAACAGGTTACCAGCACAAATTCTCATTACAAGGTGTCTTAATAAGGCATAGACAAATTTTGGTTGCCTTGGATAGCTAAGGACTCTGAACCTATGGGGAAGACATGGTAATTCCGCTAAATTTTGAGGTTTGGCTGATTTACTGGAAATCTGTAATTCTATGTGGTTTTAAAGGTTATATCTTTTTCCCTGATACTGTATTTTAGGGTTAAGGCAGCTTTTTTAACTATTCAGATGTAGAATCCTCCCGATCTCAGCCCCCTCCCTTGTACCAGAAGTAAAAAGAAAGGGAGGTGTTGTGGAAGCTGGTCAATCTTCATAAATTTCATTGTAAACATGAAATGCTTGTAAAAATAAGAAGAAAATAAATAGCAGGATTTGGTCTTTGCACCATCTTCACCGCTTCTCATGGACTGGAATTTTCCTTAAATGGTCCATCCTTGAATATCATGTTTGGGTTGATGTGGGTAAATAATATGTGAATATACAAGTATATATAAAAAAAATTCCTTGCAATCCAGGATTGTATATTTTTTTTGATAAGTAAAAATAGCATTAAAAAAGGCGTTCAAAAGGGGAACGCGTCCCAATTACAAAAGAGGTACCGGGGCTAAGGCCCCAAAGAATCCAAGAAAGTAATTAAATCATCAGAAGAAGAACAAAAGCTCCTCTTCACATAATTGAAAAGAGAATGAAGAATGTAAAGTTCGACCATAGCCGTAGGCGTCTCATTCCCTTCGAACACCTATTATTTCTCTCCTTCCAAATACACCACCATACACAATGTGGCACAATTCTCCAGAAATCGTGAACATCTCTTCTCACTCGACAGCCTCTCCAAACATGAATTAATTCCTTAGTGGAACGTGGCATAACCCAACACATGCCAAACAACCCAATAATGAGATTCCAACAGTCGTTCGCCACAGGGCAATGCAAAAGGAGGTGATCAACGGACTCCTCATCATCCTTGCATAGATAACATCGATTAACAATACAATTGCCCCTTCTTCTTAAATTATCAATTGTCAGAATCTTTCCCCACACTGCAGTCCAAACAAAGAAAGCCACCCTTGTTAGAGCCATAGATCGTCAAATAGTTTTCCACGGGAAATCACGATTAGCAAAATTTGACAAACATAAGAACAATGATCTAACTTCAAAGCGATCATGGGAAGAAGGAGCCCATAATAAAACATCATTACCACCGCCTACGCCCTCCTGCCGATATAGAAGATCCAGAAAAGCACATACCTCGTCCATCTCCCAATCCTGAAAAGAGCGTCGAAAAAGCACATCCCATATAATCCCGCTGCTATCTAGCCGATAACAGTCAACTACGTAGGCGTGTTTATCAATGATCCAGGATTGTATATTGGAAAACATGTTTGGGTTAGAGTGACTTCATTATGAATAGAATACGTTATCTCAATTTACTCTTTAAACTTTGAAGATGCATTTCTCTTTAGTGAAATTTCCCAGGTTTGGATGATTTAACCTGCATACAGGCACCACTTTGCCATGATTTTGTGGGATGGAGATGGTTGAACTGATATTCGAATTTAAAGGTTTTGGATCAAATCATTTTTTTTTTTTTTTTATCTTTCTTCCATCAAAATTTTCTGGCCAAATGATATACATATCTAAAGTACCCATGGAAGAATTGTCTATTACCTCTCTCATACATCAAACTACGCACAATGAGCCAAACTGGCCTAGAGAGTGAGGGGAGGGCGTGCATGAGTCTTGTCGAATTTCCCAGAAGCATCAAGTAAATTTGAACTATGCAAGTTGCATAAATCAAACTTTGCAATTCTGGGTAAATAAAAGCAGAAAATACTGAAAATAGAGAAACAACCACATGAGAACTCAATCGATTTAGAGGACAATAATATAATCCTTGGCCAATATTGATTCTATCTCGTCCACTTCTTGCTTATCTATATGATTATTGTCAAGAGCCAAAGCCTACCTGTGGTTAAAGTGCTTGCATAGCATCATCTCAAAGGGAGAGTGAATTGCATTCTAAATTGTATTATGAGGTTGAGTGGAGACTTCAATCTAGACAAGCGTTAGCTCGATTTACTAATTTCAACCTTGCCCCTTAGGTTGTCAGCTTAACCTTTAGCAGAAACCCTTATTACTAGGTACTAACTTCAAGATTTAATCATGGATAAGATTACCAAATGTCTAGTGACTTAGAGGAACAATTATATAATCCTTAGCCAAGATTGACACCAACTCATTACTCATCCATTTCTTGCTTGACATCTTGTTTTAACATTTCAAACTGCCCTATCCGCTTCTTATGTTACCGCACTAGCTACCTTTGTTAGGTTTATTCCATTCCCCTACCCATGTTCTTTTGTGGCATGGACACTTATCACATGTGAAAAAAGTATGAAAGTACAAAATGCTCCTTTGACTTTCAAGGAAAATGTTGACATCGTGTATTCAAGGCCTTCTAGCATGTTATATTTTGTATGGATGAATTTTTGAACTCATGATCAGAAGGAAACCCTCTAACTGGAGAATGGTAAATTGTATGGCCCATCTCATTTTTGGACGACTCCAAACTAATAACTGTAAAAATATATATATTTTTTTTCACCTTCGCTGTTTTGTGGGTATAAAAGAATGGGTATTTGTCTCTGGAATAAGATCTTTTGGTCATCCCATGTGTGTGTGTGTGCACGCCCATAAATTGTTAGATTTAAGCTATAAGATCCTCCAACTGGCTGATCCTCCCAACTCTCTGTGACATGATGTAGGGGGCTAGTTATGGCTGGCCGAGGCATTTATAATCTTCAAGGACTCTATCCTCTTATGATTAATGTTGGGGCCTATGCACCGTTAACATTCAGGACCATTCCTCCTAATATGATGAATGTTAGTAAATTGATTTGCAACATAGATAGATGCAATTATGAAATATGTTTCTGCTTGTTTGAGTTCTGATGTCTATTGTTTTATGTAAGTTGCAAAGCCTCGTAAGGATGGTAAAAAGAGAATCATATTTCTCATGGTTATCAAATGCCATATGGTGGTTAATTTTTTATTTTTTTTGGCTCTTCACAGAGAGTTTGGCCAAGTTCCCTCGGAGGAGTAGTACTATAACCGAAATTCATGGTCAATCTCAACAACCTGAGGAACAGCTGCAGCAGCGAACAGTTGCTCAGACCTCAAACAATGAAAACTCTGTCCAGGCCACTGCGATGCAACTTGCTTCTAGTAATGGTGTGCCTATTATGAATAACCCTCTCAACTCAGCATCTGCCACTCCCTCCACAAGCACTATTGTTGGGCTTCTTCACCAGAACTCAATGAACTCCATACAACAAAACCCCGTGAACAATGCAAATGGTCCCTATGGTGGAAGCAGTGTTCAGATACCCTCCCCTGGTCCCTCGAGTACGATACCACAGGCTCAATCCAATTCTTCTTTCCAATCACCAACACCTTCCTCATCTAACAATCCCCAGCAAACTTCTCATTGTGGCCTGACAACAGCAGCTCACATTAGCACTGCAAATTCACCGAACATTTCCATGCAACAGCCTGCTCTATCAGGTGATGCTGATCCAAACGATTCTCAGAGTTCTGTCCAGAAAATCATACATGAAATGATGATGTCATCCCAACTCAATGGTGGGACTGGTATGGTAGGTGCTGGTTCAATGATTAACGATGTTAAAAATGTTAATGGAACATTACCAACGAGCAATGGCTCAGGTAGTAATGGCAGCAACTGCCTCATGGGAAATGGGACAGCTAGCAGTAATTCAGGGGGGGCAGGATTTGGAGGCATGGCTAGTGGATTTGGTCAGTCTCCCATGATTAACGGAATGCGAGCTCCAATGGGTAATAACTCCATGACTATGAATGGAAGGGTAGGCATGACAACAATGTCTAGAGACCAGGGTATAAATCATCAACAGCAGGAACTGGGGAATCAGCTGTTTAATGGGCTTGGAGCGGTAAATGGGTTCAGTAATCTTCAATTTGATTAGGAGATATCTCCTTGAAGTGTTCTGAAAATGCCGTTGATGTTCTGTTCCTCAACCAGCTGCTCGTGCAGCACCGCAAGTTTCAGTATAGCCTTTGGCTATCAGAAAATAGCCGCACATGACAAAATAGTCCCCCTCTCACTTTGTACTAACCTCAGAAAAAGGAACATATAGCATAGTGTTTTCTCATTAAATTATTATATCAACCTCAGTTGCTTCATTTTCTTGGAGCGTTGTTTCACCTTGATGGATGTTTCGTTATAGCTGCTCATCCCTGCTGACAACCTCGGAATGGGAATTCGCGGAGTGGATGTTTCCTGGTGAAAGTTTCTTGATATCTAATTTCTGTGTATCCATTTTCCGAGTTCTTTGTAAACTATAGTATATGCAAATCTCTCTCCCTCTCTCTCTACATGAGTGTATAGTTTGGTTTGTTTTTGAAGGAATTCTAGTGTAGTGTTTTATCATTGAAATTTTATATCATCCTAAGTTGCTTCACTTTCTTGCTACTTTGTTTCACCTGATATTCATTATAGCTGCTCATCACTGCCGACAAACTCAGAATGGTCACGGAGCAAATGTTGCCTTCTGAAGGTCTCTTGATTCCTGTGTATCCATTTTCCTAGATCTTTGTAACTGTAGTATCTGCAACTCTCTCTCACACTCACACAATTGTTTGTTTTTGAAGGAATTCTAGTTTAGAACTCTGAACAGTGCTAGAGTTGATTTCCAATGTTTTAATTTCTGATGGTCCTATTAATTTACGAGTTGAAGGAATTCTATATTAAGGGTGAAACTGTATTTTATCTTTTCCGGTGACCTGACGGGGTAAATTGTAACAAAATTGTTGTTCGGGGGGTTTTCTTGTGGTTCGGGGAGATATATATATATATATATATATATATATATATATATATGTATGACCTTTTACATTTAAATATATAAATTTTTTGCAAGCAGCAAAGTCAACAAGCCAGAGAGGCCGAGTGATTTGGAAACAATTAGAAGTTATATCGTGTGAGCATAATACACAAAGATGGTGTTAAAGTCGTTTTTAATTAATCACGGGTAAGCTTCGGGTTGGCTCTTTGTCACTTTCCTTCTAGCCAAAAAAACTCGTACTCTTTTAAAGGTGCATCATGGTATGCAGGTTGTATATAGCAGGGGTGAGTATTTGATCCGTCAATCTGTGAGTCTGATCGGATTCATGCGGAATGGATTGAATTGTTCGGTGGTGTATTTTATAATAATGGAATTCGTAATTTATCGACCGTTACGAATTGAAAAGTTAAAAATTCGATTTGATCAGTGAGATTTATATATGTATATTTTAATAATAGTATCAGTACTTTATCTCTTCCAAAGTTGTTGCAATTTTCATTATTTTTATATATCAAATTTTTTATCCCATTTAAAAAGTCATTGTAAATTTTTTTATATATTTTCCAAAATATCTTTAATTGTTGATAAACTTGAACAATTACTCTGAATGAGTAAGTTTTGAAATTTAGAAAGGGCAATGCATTTTCTCTTAAAGAATTGAAAATTATCAAAAGATGGCAACAATTTTGAATACAGGGAAGTAGTTATACCTTACCTATAAAAACAAGTAATAATTAAAGAGTATTTACTACTTCTATATTACTTTGTTACATAAGTATATAATATGCTATATTTATTTGGGTTAAAATCACTAAACCCCCTTAATATATATGTTTTTAGGTAACCTAACTCCTAACACATCAAGACAAAATCGTTAGCATTGTGATATGACCATTATGCCCTTTTGAAGTTGAAATAAAAACTACAAAAGTTGAAAATGTGAAAAGACAATATCCTTCGAAGGTGTCATTTTACGTTTTTACACTTAAAACAAGTTGATTTTTTATTTTCTTATTATTATTTTTTTTTGGGCAAAGAAAAAAAAACACTCATGCCTATTTTACCCCAAAATGAAAAAGTACTATTAGAGTATATCCTTTGACTAATAATGTTAGCTAATAAACTTTTCACAATTGTATCGAACTGTGATTTTGGGTAAAATATCTTAAATTTCATCATGGAAGCATAATTTGACATTTTGATGATGGCATGATGAAGATTTGAGAAATTAGGAATCGGTGCCACGTCCAATGATCAAGGCTCTGACTGCGCCTATGTAGTCAAATGGCCAAAGTACCCCGAATGAGAAAATTTGAGGATTTCTGAATAAAATGACTTCAATTTTGACATGGAAGCGTCGATTTGATGGTTTGATGATTTTATAAGTTGGGTTGGGACAATGACATGCCTGCCCCTAGTTTTTCTGCAAGTATGGTGCTTCAGGTACTTGTTTAACTGGTCATAACTCCATGAAGGCTGGTGATTCTGCATATGATGTTTTCTTCCGCTGTGAATGTTGGGAAATAAACAATAACTCACCGCAAACAAACCAACCATTCACAGAAAACAATACACGGGGAAACACACCGGAGATATATGTGGTTCACCCTTATAATAAAAAAGCGTGGATTTGGTTATGATATCTATCTTTCAGTGGAATTGGTGGCTGGTTGGCTCTTTTGATCAAATGTCTCCATGGTTTATCTCTAATTTTGTACATGATTCTATGAGACAAATTCTTTAGGCAGATACTTACATCTACAATGTGGAAATTGTGGTGGATCAGAAACCAGAATCTGCATCATGGCTCTTTTGGACTAAAATTCTCTCCTGTGAAACAGTGTCCTCCCCGTCCTGATGCACATTGCAAAAATGTTGCGATATTCAGCTCACGTACATCACTAACCGGAGGGACAACACTACTGTTTCGCATAATAGGATTTTGTTCCCTTTTCCATATGCTATTCAAGCTGCTAGATCTTTGGGAAGTTTCTAATATTCAGTATTTCGTGTATATGACCTTTCCGTGTATTTTTATCCTTTTTTTTTTTTTTTGGGGGGGGGGGGGGATGGGCTTATTCAAGGCCTCTTTGTACCGTGGGAGTACTGTTTCTGGGTAAAGACAATCTCTAGGGGAAAAAAAAAAAAGAAAAAGAAAAAAAAAGAAGAAAAGAAACACACACACACTAATACACATTCCTCCCCTCAGCTCTCCAAGTTTGACACAGAATTGATCAGAAAATGGAACAATCCCAAAGCTTAGTTGGTAGCAAGGAAGCAACCTTGAACTGATCCAAAGCAGTAAAAACCAAAGTCATACAAACAAGGGTGTTAAAAGAGTGGAGTATTTAATGAATTGTAAGGAATTCGCTGCAACCTAATACTCTTTTAGAACCTAATTTAGTACAGAAACTAGATAAGTTTTTATTTTCAACTTAGATTTATATGTAGTCACATTCTTATCGAAAACAAAATGTATGATCAAAGACAAACAACATTAAGATAAGCCAGACGCTGCAACAATTCCGGTAACCAAATAGTAACTTTTACCTCCAAGCCGAAGCAACAATCAAGACTTTGTCTTCCCATCCAAAATGTAGCGCGCCCATTTCCTCATTCACCTTGTACCTGTCACAGTACTGCTTTATAAGTTTTTTAATTGCATCATTCACATTTGGACTAATCGGACATGAAGTGAATCCGGCCATCATCATCCTTGCTCTCCATTTCCCAGCAACTTCATAGCGCTCTATTCTTTCTTCTCCCTCACAGGCAACAATGTTCACTATGTCTCGTGCCAGACACTGCCTTTCAACATTCAGCCTCTCCTGGCTATCCCTTGGAAGAGTCGCATCCAGAGACTCAAACACGGCTGAATAGTAATTGTAGGCTTCAACAAACCTAGGTAAAAATGGGGCAGTATTAGTATTCACATCTTGTTCAACAATTGTTACAAGTTTCGGGTTCAAGCTCTTGACCATCCGCAGAAGCTGGTCTCGCTGGTTCACCGTTGAAACGCTCTCATCGGGCATGTGATGAAGCTGGAAAGCAAAATTCACCACTAGCGCTTCCCCAGGTTGACAGTTCAGTATTGCTGGGGTGACTATTGAAGTTTTTGAGGCCACTGCCCGGAACTCAAATGAAATTTCATATTGTTCAGCCAGTTTCTCAAGCCTTTGCCCAATCATTTTTAGGCCTCCAATGGGACGTTGAACTGATTCAGGGTCATCAACCCCAGTTAACCTCAAGTGCGGTAGCTTACCAGGCCTAGTACCAAGTGTTTGTATTAGTGTTATATATTGACTTCCTTGGCTTATATCAAAATCTATTATATGAACTATCTTTTCATCCTTAAATACCTCCATGATAGCACCATTTGCTGCCATAAATCCAAACCTAAAACATGGACAAACCTCAAAAAGAACCTGCATGGCTGACAGTCGATCGTTAGAGGGGGGCTCTTTGCATTTCAGAGCTTTATAAAGACCTTTCCCAGAGGTAGCCATTCGAGCTGCAAGTGCTTCCACCATATACGCTGCAATCCTCTGGGGAGGATCTCCTTGGATTGACACCCTTTGCCGGAGTTCGTTTATCATTGTGGATGCTTCCTCAATGTGTCCATCTGAAATTCCAGCAGCACAATCAAAGAGCATCTGCTTGGGAGTCCGAGCAGTGGTTAATGATATTTCTTTATTGCTGCTGATGCTACTACCATTGGAAACCGAAGATGAAGACTCCTTGGGCGAGTCATGGAGCATTACATGATGGATTGGCTCAGTCCATTCACCATCCATGTCCATGCTCTCATTAGGGCTAAAAATGTCGTCATCACCATCGTTATTGCTAAGTAGCGCACTCTCCAGTTCTTGAAGCTTTAATCTCATCTTATCCTCATCGTAGTCTAGTGTATCTGGACTTGGACTTTCCAAGTATTCCAAATCAAAATTGGTCTGACAGGGATTGTGATGTCTTTTGGTCGCAAATGGGGAGTTAAATGAGTTTTGAGCAGGCATTAGCTGGTAACAAGAGGCAACTTGGTGGTGGAATTGATTCCCTGGTTCATTAGATCTAGGTGGGTGTATAAGTTCTTCTGCTGGGGAGTCGAGGAAGTATTTCAAATCATAACTCTCACCGCTATAAGATCCAGTCGCATACATGGTCCTATGCTTATCAGAGTTGAATACTGGAGTGGACAAGCCAGAGCTGTTGCTGCTTTCTTCTAGTGAGTAGAGCTTGTGATTTCCATATGATGTGGAAGAATGATCTCCAGATCGAACTAAAGACATGGATCACTTTTAATGCACACAGTTTCCGACCAAGTTTCTGTTTACCATAAAATTTGTGTCCTGTGTCACAAGAGAGATACAAATTTGATGAGAAAGTACTGAAAAATATCATCAAATAGATCAACTAAACTAAAGAAACGTATTTGGTCCTCCACTAACACAATGAAAAAAAAAGAATAAATAAATAAGACAGGTACCTCTACAGTGATGCTCACAATTGAAATCCCTTTGAAGTTACTGGGATGCGTGTGTTCTGCCAAAAGAAACAATGTGGGGGGAAAAATTAGCTAAAGGAACCACAATAAAAGAAACTAAACACAGATTTATAACAAAAAGAAGACTAAAATAGTTGATAAACACATAACCTAGGAAGCACGGACAAGCCAAAAAGGCCGAAGTATCTATGTTGGCCACAACTTACATTGGACGTGCCAAAAAACGTGTCTGGTTTTGTTAGGCAATAGGACTTAGGTTGACATATTTCTAGAACAAAACTGGAGTTTGTAACTTTTGTTTTAATTTCTAGCTTAGTTTAGAATTTTACAGAAGTTGATTAGTCTTTATAATATAATGAAATTTCACTTGTTTTTTTTCTTCTTCTTTTAGTTAGATTTCAGCTTGACAGAGCATATCACCCTAATAACAAAGATAACAAAGATATGCTGGAAACAAATAAAGAAGCTCGACTGGACCTTTTCATTTGTATGCTGAAATGGAAGATGTTTATATTTCAGTGGAAGGCTATTGTGCATGTAGATGAATCCACGTATAATGAAAGAAATGGGAACTGTAGACACTGTGAAGCATCTGGCTGTACAAAACATATATGCACCCTTCAGAAGCAAAACAGCTTACAAATATAAATAGACTAGTAAGAGTACGAAGAAATAGAATCCTTAAGATCAAAGTTCTTTTAGCATCACAAATTAACCAATAAAAAGGGGCAAAAGGAATTAGAGGTGCCTTATGTTAGAAATTAGAGAATAGTTGACATGTTCCAACAACCTCTCCACCTTTAACAACTCTAATTTTTTTTATTACTGTTGTTTATATTTTTACACTTTTCTTCTGACTTCCTGCAACAACACGGAACAGTGAAAAATCTGAAGAGAACAGTCATCTATATCCGAAACACTAGAAGTATTGATGATTTGAACAGTTAACCAGTAAAATTCTTTGATTCGCGTTGTTTGCTTCTTATAAATTTTTTTCTACATTTTTCATTTTCTCTTTCAATTTTGTGCCACAGAAGTTGCTGGAAAGGATAGTTATTGATCAACTCTTTCTTGGTAGTCTGTTATTTACTAACAGATACTCTAAATGATCTAGAATTCACAGAACTCTATGTGAATTAAATTCGAACCCTCATTCTACTAATTACTGACCTGTGAAAATTAACCTAAACGCAATCTAGACAACAACCATCGATCAAAAGGAAGCACAGTGATGAAGCTTTTGTTGTATGCATAAGATAACACCATCTCATGGTTATTTGATATTTTCTTTTCTACAAACAAATAGTGTGCAAGTAATAAGAAAGGAACTGCATCATGAATTCAATAATCCAAAACCTCCTAGTGAGTAAATAATACCATAACTAATTGAATCCACCATGGGTGTTGAAGAAACTCCTTATTGCATTCTTCCTAAAGGAAGACATAATGGAAAAACTAAAAGAATGGGGTATTCTATACTACAAACTTTTCATCAGTTGTGACATTACGCTTCAAGAACTTATAACGTATGTTGGTGGACCATATAAGTGTAAAATTTTATTTTGTATTGTATCGGCAGGCAAAAGAAAACGTGAAAAATATCATAACAAGGATAAAAGCTACAAAAAAAAAGTTTTAAAGTGGCTCATCGCCTGAGAATGCTACAGTCACAGGTAGAGACAATCACCAAAATTCACTATACAGGTAGAGATTGCAAATAATTTGAGACAAAATACAACAACCTTCATGACCAATGATACCCATTATCCTTTTGTAGTTGGTCCAAGTGAAAATTTGTCAATCATGAAAATCTACGCTAGAAGGACCTTGCTAAAAACTTGGGATATCAGTTGATGAAAGCAGCGATGGAGAAAATTGATAAATTATCCATATTTCGTGAGAACAAATGCAAGTATGCAATATTGATGGCAATGATGATAAAAAAAAAAAAAAAAAAAAAAAAAAAAAAAAAAAAAAAAAAAAACCCTCGCAGCAAAGGATTCGGTGGTTTGTCATATTAGTGACGCATTGGTAGGAATCATTAATTTTAGAACACAATTTTTCTTTTTTTCTTTTTTTAATTTTTGGGGGTGGGGACAAAGTGTACAGAGCAAGCCAACAATGAGATTATTCTCTCGAATGTGAAGGCTTCAATATGGTTAGAAGTTTTAGGTTTTGTGGAGGCACGAACATATTCACAAGTTACAGTTTTTGACAACAAGATAGCTGGAGGGTCCTGCATGTGCTTAGCCTAGTCATGGACGAGACTCTAGTTACACGTAAGGTGACGTAGCGGAAAGCTGTGAATCGTTCACAAGGAATAAGGTTACTTTGAATCCACAACGTAGGGTAACTCTGAATCTACAAAGTCCAAGAAATTTCAAAGAGAAATATGATATTGTATTGATAATTGAATGAGTGATCTGCTCTGTAGTAAATGTATTTATAAATAAAAACCCTAATCAACATAAGAAACCCTAAAAACATAAGGAAACTAACAGTATAAGAAAAACTGCTCAAAATCAAACTTTCTTCAAAAATTCTGTAAAAATAAAGTAAGAAGCCTAATTGCTAAAAACTACTAAATTCCAAAAAGGAAAGTAATTTGAATCGATTGAATTCGGCCGAAAGGCGCCCTACCTCAGTAGCAAAGCAGCTGATTTTTGCGAGTTAGGCCGTTTCCGAGTAGACTAGGATCTTTTCGGGTCAAACTGGACTAGTCAAAATTATCCCTAAAAATTGTGTCAGCCCACCCGTTTAACCTTTTGACGGTCCAAACAGGCTCTAAAGTCATCAACAATCTATTCTACATTATAAGGGGACATGTTGATGATATAATCAAATGCTAAAGTTAGATTCTCCTAACAGCTTAAGCTTTTAGAGTCGTCTAATTAACAATAACTTCTTAAAATGCACAGGGAACTGGATCTATATGTGGACTGAGCATTTTGGAATGGTACAAAACTATCTTCTCAACTCTTAACTAAGAAATTTTATACTAAATAAATTCATAGGTTTGTCTCCTATATGTCTTCTCAACAAGAGAATCGTTAGCAACTTCATTTTACTTGCAAATGAGACGTGCACACACACATATATATATTAGTTCTTTACAAAGATCAAATAGATCTGATCTTTTGCAGCATTAGGTTGATTCAAGGAACTTCATGTAGTAAGACAATTATTAAAGCAGAAGTGTAGAAATTTAATCATGACGCTTTGTGTGAAAGCTTGACTCTAAATTTCCTTGAGCCATGTATGAATAACAATCTAGAGGGTAATATGGAGAAACTGAGAACACCTTGGAGCAATATTACCTTATAAAAAACAAACTCCTCATTAAAAACCTGTCCAACAATCTAATTGCCAAAAAAAAAAAAAAAATTTTGATCACCAATAAAACTAAAACATCATTATGAAATGATATCTTATGTTCTTCTCTTCGATTTGAATTAAAACAATCAGAAGCCTCATTTCAGTAGGCAAATAATCCACTCATACATATTAGAAATCACTTTCTGCCAAAGGAATTGAAGGATAATAACAGAAACAAATTAAGAGAAAAAATATTAACAATTATTAAAACCCAGATTACAAAAATAGAAGCATCCAGCAAGAATAAGAAACCCATAGCCAATTAAAATAGTATTTGGGCATCAAATTGGAGAAACAATTTTAACAAAGGGAAGAAAAAGAAGATATGCATATATATATACCTGAAACAGAAGGAAGCAATCAAGATGAGGCAAAAGAGACCATAACCTGCAATTTAACAGATACCCAGATGGAGATGAACCTCAGAATTAGTTTCATTATTGGAGGAAAACTTAGGATTAGACCAGAAATACTCAAAAGCAAATACAACTTTTTTGTTGTATCTTTACATCTATTGAAAAGAATTGCTGATTGTTAGGTTTGGTTGGTCCAAAAGCAGCATCAAACAACATAAGAGAACAAATTAAAGAAGTCCAAAGAAGAACAAACTTTAAAAACAAACAACTAAGAAATATGAAGAAAGATACATTAAATATACATGTTATAAATTTTGTTGAGAGAGAGTACCAGCTAGGCAGCTACCCAATTCGATAATATGAAAAGATGAAAATTTCAACACCAAGTTGCCAAAAAGACCACCATGCCAAGAAAATTCAATCTTCTGGAATCAGAGAAAAATGAATTTAAAACTCGCACAAAACTTTTCTTTGAGAAGAGGAGACTTGTGTGCTCCATTTTCATCTTTTACTTTTGTCCTCCATGTCTTTGCCAACTTGTCTGACTGAAGTTGTTGACAGCACAACTTTCTGTCAAAGATGCACCCAATTGGTTCGAGAACTTCGGAAGGGAGTCCCTCCGTTTCCTCAATCAATCCTGACCGTTTATCCTGTTGACTAACCCTTAAAAAAAAAAATAATAATAATAAATAAATAAATACAGTACATATGGTAAAAACTAAAAAGGAAACTAGATTAGGCTCGGATCCGAACCTCTTATTTTATTCAATCTTACTGGGCGGATTGAGATATGAAATGATAAACCCTAATTCAACTCTAACCATATTTTCAATCCTAACTAGTTGACCGAGTCTAATTAATTCTTTAATTTTTAAACTCACATTTATAACTCGGATTTAGATTTTAAATTTAAAAATCTAATTAATTCAGGTTATCCATATAACCAATCACTTAATGTGATCTTAAATTAGTTTACGATTAAATTACTCTTAAAAAATTAAAAACTTGTTTCAAATTTTTAATAAATTACAAACAAATTCTTATAAAAATTGATTCTCCTAAATATTAATATACAATAAAATAAATTAAGATTTAACAAAAGAAGATGAAAATTAAAAGGTGATCATAATTTGAATATTATATATAATGTATTGAAAATAAATATATATGTAAATAATATTAGAAATTGGATTGAGGTTGAACTCAGATTCTTAGAACTTCAACTCAAGTACAACCTTAATTAACTTGTGGTTGAGTTTTTCATCTCAAGCCCAAGCTCATAAAAAATTAGGCTGGCTTCGAGTTAGTTCGGATTGCCAACCTAAGTTGTACCCCTATAATACAACACTCCATCACAATGCAACACACTCCATTAAAATTAGGGATGACAATTTTCCCATCCCAATGGGTTTTCGCCCTGCCTCTAATGGGTGAATTTGGTGGCACCCTAAATGAATTTGGGACAGGTATAGTAAGACAATTGAAAACTGAAACGAATTCGGGGAGGATTTAGCGATGAACCCGCCCCAATCCCGCCTCGATTATATATGTACCTTCAAAAAGTTTATATATATAAATTTTAATATTTTTAAGGCCCTTATTACTTCGTTGGGAATGTCACTTATATATTAATATTCACTATTTAGTAAATTAAAAGTTGGACCTACTTATTTATCAGCCCGCTCCACCCTACAATTAAAAGGAGTAAACGGTGCGAAATTGATATTTTATCTGTCGAAGTAGAGGTGGGAATGATATACTAATTACAAATACGTTCTGAAATAAGGATGGAGTTGGTAAAACAAATTTTCTAAGGAGCATAGTTAAAACGTTACCTACTTCGTTCTGTTACCATTCCTAATTAAAATATGTTGTATATCAAAGATATAATATTTATGCAACATATTATATGGTGTTATAATGTTGTTAATATTTTAAAATTAAAATTCAATACTTTCAAATTCAGCATTTAGAACCAAAAATTGCACGGAAGAGATCATGTGGCGTGGTCTGGGGACAAGCCCAGAGGTGGGGTGATGGGTGAGAGTGGTACCAATTTCTTCTGTTATGGTGGGTGATGTTAGATTCACATAATCAGCATTGTCTTCATTGCGTGTAGGAGATGTCAATTTGCTGACTAAGTCAAAGGTTTGGAGGTCTCCCAACGACCCCACTTAACTAATCTTAAAATGGCCATCTCTGCGTTTCATCTCTTGTGGATGGATAAGTCCAAAACTCCATTCAAATGCAATCTAATTCTAACGAATATATATATATATATATATATATATATATATTGAGTTTTTGAGATAATAAACCATTGAGTTTTTGAGATAATAAACCATCCATCCCTAACTTTGCGCGCGTGTATATATATATATATATATATATATATATTAATCTCTTATTTATTGATGAATAAAAATTTCAACTTAATTGTATTATACTAAGAGTAGTGATAGGGAAATCGAATGATTATTCTGAATTATCACCGGATTTTACGTGGTTTGACCACTTCAAGTTCATTAAATATTCTTAAAGAGTGAAAATCCAAAGTTGTCTCCCACCAAACGTCTTGAGTGGGTCCTACACCAATCATAGTTATCCTCAACCTCTAGATATGGGTTCTGTTTACAAAAAATAGTTAATTTTTTTACTTACTGTGACGGCCCAAGTTTTTCAACCCAGTGCGTCAGTGATGAACCGAAAGATGACCCGATAACGGATCCGAAATGCGGAAACAAAAAAAAAACAACGGTCTCTAGAGATACATCATGGCTCTAAGACACCATTATGACCCTCAATGAGGTCACGGAATCCAAAAAAATTAAATGGGGAAGCAACGTTTCAAAAACGAACAAGATTGAACCTAGGGGCAAAATCGTCATTTTTAGCTTAAAAGTGGGTGCTACCGAGCACACCATTGGAAAGACAACGAAAAATTAATGAATTTAGACTCAAGAATCACTTGATTCGGAGTTTGGATGAAAAAGATATGGCTTACGGAAGAAGAAGGGGCAAAATGGTCAAAAAGTGCAAACCCTAGATCATTTAACCGGTTACCAAGCCTTCCTAACCGGTTAGGAGACAAAAAAATTCAACCAAAACACTGCCCAAGCACATGTAACCGGTTACCAAACTTCTCGTAATTGTTTACATGTGAAGGAGGCAGAATGGACAGCAAGAAATTCTGGCAGCAGGGGTTTTTGGGGAAAAAAAAAAAAAGAAAATTTGAGGACCTAGATGACATTTTCTGAAAAAACTCAAAGAACAACCCCCCCCCCCCCCCCTCAAAATCGAGTTTTCTACGTGATTTGCGAGGAAAATAGAAAAATACATAATTTTAAATGCCCAAAATGCCCCTCCATGAAAACTGGTCCAGAGGGTCCAAAAAGCTGCTAAATTTAAAAATTGAGAGCTGAACTTCGGATGCGATTTCCGATGCCAAGATGGCATTTTCTGGAAAAACACGGAAAAGAAACCCTCCCTAAAATCACATTTTCTAAGTGATCATATGAAGAACGAAATTTATTTCCCAAAGAAAATTTCCAAAATACCCTTAAGTCAAAATATGCAACAAAAGTGTAAAATGAGTCCATAGGAGGCTCATTTCACCAAAGAAGAAGCTTTGCCTGGAAACGACCATGCACGCAAACGTAACTTACTTAATAAGATGTGCTACAATGGCCCGTGACTCAAAAATATGGCCGAAGCAAAATATGACCCCCCAACGGCCAAAATGCCAAAAAATGAGGTTTGGAATGAAAACTTGAAACCTAAAATCATGAAATGATTTCGAAATGCCGTTTGGCCCTTGGCCACACTTCATGCATGTTAAATGAATGCTAATGGAAGAAGTTCATACACAATGTACGCTCCGGTGCAAAATAGCATACTAAAACGCATGGTTTTCCATATGTTCTTATTGAAGGCAAAAATGAACATCATTGACATAAATATAATTTCAAAAGGAGTTTGGCCATTGGCCTCATGTCATATACATAAAATGAGAATCAAAAAGTGTGCTTAGGCACACATTACAAGTCTAAAAGCAAATATACACATTTGACATATAAGGTTACAAATGGCTTTTCAAGCCAACCTTCACAAGAATTGAACCCTTCAAGTTCCCAATATCCAAGCATGGTGAGAATCTCTAACCTTGAATCCTATACATGAAATATGCCCCAGTATCGTAGGGGTGAGTAATATAAAGCTACTCGTAGGAAATGAGCATGCATCGACTTATATTTTACAAGTTTGCATGATTAATTATTGCGGTTCATTCCACCTAACGTCTATGTCAAAGGTGGACTCAAGGAGCATCCTAGCTACCTAAGATCATTTCTAACATCAATCACCTCATTCATGTAATTTTAGCAACATAGGGTCATGCTTACACAAAGCAATAACATAAGAGCATGCTTACACCAAGTAACAAACATAGATTCTCAAAGTCATCAATTTGAAATCTAAAGAACGAAAACGACATAAGTGATCATGCCACCTAACGTCTATGTTCCAAATGAATCTATAGGATCATTCCTTATTTGCATTTGAACAACACAACATGAATGTACTTGACAACATCAAAAGCTTATAATGATTCATCAAAATCATAAAACAAGAATGTACTTAACAACATTAAAAGCTCACAATGATTTATTAAAAATCATAAACATGAATGTACTTAACAACATTAAAATGATTTATTAAAATCATAAAACATGGATGTACTTGGCAACATCAAAATCTACAAAGATCATAAAGCATGGATGTACTTAACAACATCAAAATCGCCGATAACCAAAACCACAAGTTACAATATAAACATGATTTCTAACTTAGAATTAAATGCGAAAATAAATAATGGAAGACTTGGACATCTAGACTCGGAATTTTGCTGAGATCAATGGTTGTTCCGGGCACTAACCCGCAGGGAAAACCACCTTAAGTGCGCACTATCTCAATTGGGGAGAACTCATACCTCCCGCACTAAATCCGAACTTTAGCCATATCATAGTAACGATGTCCCAAGTGACTCCAAAATAAATAAGTTAACAACTTATATATATACGAAACCACACCCCATGCACAAGTAGTTCATAACTACACAATACATGCTCTAAATTCACAACTACTATAGGATGACAAATGTCGAATCTTCAGAGCGCGATTCGTTATGCGCTATAATAACATCACATGTCGAATCTTCAGTGTGCGATTCGTTACACGCTATAACAAGATAATCCAATATTGAAACGTAATCTCATAAATTCATTACAAGTCTAAAATCATGCTTTAGATATACAATCAACGTCAAACACATGATTTAAATCCATAATGCAATAGAAATGGAATTTAATCAAGTAAATTAATTAATTCCTCTAAGTTGCAATTCTCAACCAAATGGCCTCAAATTACATATGTTAGCAACATAGCATGGCCATTACATATACCAATTTCAAAACTTGATTAGGTTAATTGAATAACAAAATGAAATTTAATTAAATCATGATAATCAAATTCCTAAATTCTAAAACAACATAAAATGGTCCCATATCAATATATACTAGTATACAAGTCCTAGTCATCT